AGCAGAGGCGATGATGCCCGGACTGGCAGAAGCACGGAAATACTCATTCCCGACCTGACAAGAGTCTAGGAGTGAGTGCGCGAGGTGGTTATAAAAGGCGCTCCACCCCCAAAGAGGAGGTATGCAAACTTTGCGCTATTTGATTTATCTTGCCTTTGAAGGATTCTAACTTAAGCTTCGGAGCCTCTACACCGGGTTCTCCCCGGAGCTTCTTCATCTAACCCGTTTCAGGTCCCCCGCTACTCGATTCAGAGGCAAGGTCGTTGGCAGCTAAGACCGGCCGGATTGCGCATCATCACCCCCCATTCCCGATCCCCTCCCCCGAAATGTGATTCCCATTCCGATATTAGTTCCTTTTTCTTTCTTTTTGGACAAAAAACCCCTCTGATCCAACCTGCGATTGAGTTGCTGTGAAAATGAAGAATCCCTTGCCGTTGCCGCCGTCAACCAAATTTCCGGTGAAGTAAGTCCACTGCCAACCATCTTTCTCCTCCTCCGTCTTCTTCCTCCAAATCAGCTACCGCTCTTCTTGCTCCTCCTCATCTTTTTTATAGCTTGTGAAATATGGTGGTTTATTTTACAGATCCGCCCCATCTCCTCTTCGGATCTGCCCTGCTGTGATTCATTTTACAGAGCTGCCCTATTCTTGTTCGTTTTAATATGCTTCCTACTCTGGTGAGGCATATGTTTTGTTTGGTTTGATTATAGCTCTGGGAGATCGGATGATACATATGTTTTAGGATTTTCCATACATTTGTTTGGTTTGATTATAGTTCTAGGAGATTGGCTGATACATATGTTTTAGGATTTTCCATAATAAAAATAAGAACCAAATGGGAAGTGTCAAATCAGCACCGGAAGGAGAACTGTAAACTTTGGCTTTAAGAGGTGTCTTACATGTGACCAACTACTCTTGTGTGGTTGTTTTTGTGGTATTTATATTGTACTGAATCACTGGTGACTCTGTAAAACCAATATGTAAGGAACCTTATTAGCTCGCTTTGTCTTGTTTTTTATGTTGTCTCCAGAGACTTACTACTGCTGAGCATGGTCTAACAGTAATAACAATAATGGTACTAGTAATTAGAATTAGGAAGGGAGGAGAAGGTGACAAACTGTGAAGTGTTAATCAGGGATTCAGGGCAAGGACTTCCGTCCACGTCCAAGGTGGAGGAGGAGGCGGTGGTGGGGGACTTCTCTCTACTTTTTCCTTATGGACCTTGTCTCTTTCTCTTGCCTTGGACAATAATTTTCACATTGAAAAGCTGTCAGACACCACGGACTCTTTGGCCCCTCCGAAATAAATTAAAAATCTTCGTTCTAAATACTCAAAAGAACAGAAAAAGCATCCAGTTCATTTTCTGTCCAGTCTCTAAGTCTCCTACTTTTTCTGTTTATTTCAACACTGTTAACTTGTTCAGGATCAGATCAAAGGAATTTCAAAAGAATAAGCTTTCTGGGGTTAATTATCTTTCTTGACAAAGAAAATGCTCATTCTGATGAAGAGGATGATAATCCACTGCAGAATTCATGGGCTTTGATATTACTGCATATGATAAAACTGCTCCATTTAGCAACAGTTTGTTTTATCTATCACTGGCTAGTACTATATAGTATATTCTAGAAGCTTAGATGTGTGGAAACCCAAGGTCAAACTTATGAAGATCAAGCAAGCAGCCTTAGCATATCAACTCACAGGCTGCAGATGCTATTTCTTGAATATCTCTTAGAGAAAGTCTTGGAGATATAGAAGGTTATCTGTACAGTTCAGCATCCCCACGCAAGGGTTTGAATGGTTTTGGAATTTTAGATTTATTAATTTGGTGTTTCTTAGGCAACAAGTTTTAGAATGCCACATAGCAAATGATTTTTGGCAGTTCACGAAGGGTATGTCTATTACTTTTCTCTATCTATATCACTGTATATCTGATGAGAATAAGTGGAAATAAATAAAAAGAAAACTTTGAAGTTCTTGGTTTTAATGTCTGTTGCTTCTAATTCTGTTTCCTTTA